TGAGAAGACGAGGAAGAAGACGTAAGAAGATGCTGGATGACCTTGGGGACAGAAGAGGATACTGTCATTTGAAGGAGAAAGCTCTAGATCGCATTAAGTGGAGGAATTGTTTTGAAAGAGACTGTGGACCTGTCGTCTTGACAGATTACTGATGATGATGATGAGAAACAGTATGTAATATCTCTTTCTTATTAACATTTCTGGAACTATACAGTGAAATAGATCTATCTCAGAAACTGTTCGGAATAGGACACATGTACATAATATATATTTTTTTGATTAAAATGACTGATATTATGAGCTCCCAGAACACTGACCTTTCTTCCTGGGCCATCCTGTATAATAAAACAGAATATTAACACCTTTAATATCAGTTTTATTTACCAGCTGTGCTGATGGCCACTGAAGTATCATAAATAAAAGTACTAAGGGTTCTTAAAGCACACTTCACGTTCATTTCCCTCGGTGTTAGTCCTGAAATGGGGGGAAGGGCACAAAGGTGGTATGGAAGGCAAGCTTCACACAAGGGAGGTCTTCCAAAGTTTTACTGGTGGTGCTGGTAGGAAAAAGGAGCAGGGCACTGTGCCCCTAGTAATAAACAAAGACAGTTGTAGCAGCTTGTAACTAACAGAATTTTAAATACTTACACACAAAGTACATGTCAAAATTTGTTTTTGCAAATTTATAAACCATGATTAAATATTCACAGTATATGTATTCCATACTACAATTGGGGGAGGTAATCTTATTTTGAAAAACTGAACCACTAGGTTATGTTTAGCCCTTCTGGTACAAGAGACGTCATAATTAAAGTTGTGGGACTTTTTTTACTGACATTTGGTACTCTCCATACAAAAATGACATTATTTAACGGTAATGAGATCTCCTCATTCCAAAGTGCCCTTACAGGACAATCAATGAAGAGTAATTTCAGAACTTGTAACTTTCACATCAGTTGTAATCCTGGAGTGCAGCTCTCCTTTATTCTAACAAGGGTTACATTTCAGAAGTAAATCCAGGTAACAAGAATCTTTATATCAATGTCCTTCATCATGGCATTCCTGCTCGTACTGCATATTAAATCTACACAGTCATTTTTCACCTGTTATCAATTTTATTTTTCACAAAAGTGATACTGGGGCGTGATATTATTTTCAAGTAACTTTTGAGTAACATGGCATGCTGATTATATTCATTTCTACAGTGTCATCTCAACTTTACAACAATCTTTTATGAATGTTAACACCAAAGTAGAATAATAGGTTTGTAGTAAAAGTTTATATTTTGGAAAATAATTACTTGACACTCAGATTCAGTTCCAAGGATTATTAGAGTAGTTTTTCAATGTCTCTTCCCCTTATAACTGACAACTGAGGCATACGCTTAATGATCGACCAACTGCGTATTTGTCGCTTTTACTGCAACAGGCCTTGTTCAACATTATATGATGTAGAAATCGCCTAGCTAATGTTCCTCCAGGGTTCTGTTGATTTACTTGTGCACACATGTCAAGAACTTTTGGCACGTCAGCTTTTCAAGAATTCTATTAGATTCTTGGATTTGAGGTGCTCACAGAGATAGCTGTGAAGAGTACTATCTTCAGGGATGTGATGCCATTTAGTCTCGTAGAAGTTCACTGACATTTCTAAGGAATGTACTGCTTCCACCTTCTTCTTGCTGGCTTACTGTTTAATCCTGAAGATGGAAGCAGTGCATTCCTCCAAAACATCAGTGACCATATAACAGATAGCATGGTGCAACATTCCTGAAGATGGTGTACTTATGGTACTTTATATCAATTAAATTGCAGCTTCTAACATAAAACATTTATTATCACGGTTTTCACGTTGTATCACAGAATAAGGGTAATCAATTTTCAGAGGGTGCAGTTTAACACTGCCCGAGATATTTTAGAGAGACAATTGCATGGCACATCCACAAATGGAAACCACTCCCTAGAAACAAGGCCACACACGGTTCTATACATGAAAATTATGTGATTCACACCGAAAAACGTACCACAAAGTAACACTGTGGTCGCTGTGCAAGGGCCAAGAAGGCCCACCCCTTATACATTCATTCAACATTGTGAAAAGTGATTAATACAATGTCATCATTATGTATATTTCTGGAGATGAATTACACATGAAATTCTCAACATGGAGAGCAGTGAAATCTCATTGCTACAGATTATACTCTGCTTTATCTCAATGACAAACGTGTCAAGCCCACAAAAAAAAAAAAAAAAAATTGAGCGTAGTGTGCTGGAAAATGTGTACGCGCATGCAATACAGTATAAATCTTATGGCCAATACAGAATTCCAGGTATGGATGTAGTGTGAGAAAGGGCAAGGGGCCGTGAGACCTAGTAAGCATTCAGAGTTTCATCATCCCTTACCAAACAAAAACAACATTTTTTCATTACTGGGATAAATTCTCACCAGCTGAACTGCCGACTGAATTTATTGCAGCTATGGACAACTACACAACAGCGGTTTGAGCTTACAAAGTACCAAGAATTGAAGGCTTCACAGTAAGAAACACACTAGTGCGTGCATGGCTACTGGTCCTGCAGGCTTGTTCAGTTTTATTTTACAACCTTACTTCATTTCTTGGTTCTTCCTCATCCTCCTCTGCTTCCAATGCACACCAAACCCACAGCATACCGCTTTTCACAGAAGTTTTCTTAACAAACACAAAACGTTCACCAAGGGAGAAAAAACAAGATCTAAACCATAAATCTGAGGGGGGTGGGATTCTCATCTTCATCAAACATGCACATTTCTCAACTTTAACTGATAATGACAATTTTAAACTTCACTCAGTATTTATTTAAACTTCTGGTAAAGCAGTCCATTAATAATACTTATCCTCCACAGCTGTTTTACCTCCAAAATTACAAGTGTCCTGGTGGTACATCACTACGCTTGCACAATACACAACATTCATTTACATTTACCTTCATTCCAAACGAACAATAACCAGAAAAGGATGGTAAACTGTATTTAAATACTGTGCAAAGATGTGAAGCATTACTGAAAAGTGAAATCCCTAGTCACCATCTTTTCATCTGTGGTTAATGAAACAGTTCCTTTCAGTTCCCTACACCCTGCTTCAACAAAAATTCAACAAGCACAAATCCCGTCATGGTAGCACATTTTAAGTGTGACATAGTTAATTAATTAGATGTGGATGACATTTCTCCTGTAAACCACACTGTCCATCACACGCACAGAAATAACACGAACTTGCTCACTCAACTCAACAGAGAAAAATTACGGAAGTTACTGGCAAATTCTTCTTGTCATATTACATTTTTCAACACGGATTAAGAAACTATGTCTTCAAAACAATTTGCACTAAAGTTATCATTTCAAAAAACACTTCACTGAAATAATTATCTTTCACTTGGGTGGAACAAAAGTTCTACTGGAAGAATGCATCAAAATGACATGTTCCGTCAGGTTTGCAAACCACAGCTCCCGAAGTCTCCAGATGCTAATGAAGGAAATGCAATAAAAAAAAAAAAAAAAAAGAGGGTATTTATTGGTGTTTAAACGAATCAATTCCTTGTGTTGTAACTGCGCCATCAACTCCAACTCCGCAAACATCCAAGGTTCACCTGTTTCATTTATGTCGATACAACTGTGATGATGACATCGTAAGACAGTCATCATCTGCAGAGCATTCATAATCTCACTTGTTATGACAGAACTTTTTATTCGCAACTGCTAACTTCCCCCAACTTGATTATCAGTAAGTGAAGATCAGAGAAACACAAACGACATCTGCATGTAACATCGGTATGCAGGGAGAAGCCTTTCTGTCAACATCCACCTTTAAAGTTGAAATGTCTAAAACAAGTTAATCGTGAGATGCACAGCACATGGCTGTTCTTCCGAGAGGTAGCGCGCAGTTGACTTACAAGATGTGCTCACAGTGGAAGGTAGTAAAAGCACATACTTTAAAATACCATCATCATTTGCAATTTCTCATACTATTGTTTTCAACAGCTTCTAACTACATATACTGTATGCGCACGAAGTACGCAAGTTTGAAGAGAAAGTGGACATATGTGATGCACAATTACTTTAAACAGACATGGAGGCTCGCTTGTCCAAATACTGACAATACAACAGCTATTCAGAGGTGGGAGTGGCTTTCTCTTCCTTTCCCAGTTCAGTGGGCAGCTTTATGTCAACCTGCTGTGTGCTACTGACTGTTGCCGGCTTGGCGCTCAGAGAGATCCCGCTACTGCTGCTGCTGCTGCTGGAGTTGGCACTGTTACTCTCTGGCATCTTATTTTCACTACTTACATGAGGATTGGTCTCAGGCTTGCCTTCAGAACCACTCTCCAACTTCAAGTTTGTCCCTGCAAAACCAAACAAATTTACCAGGAAAATCTCAGAATTCCCCACATCTCTCTAATGTAGAGATGCTGATATGCAAACTGATGGTACAATATTTTAACAAGTTTGTCCAGTCACTTGCATACACAGATGATACACATGTCACAGCAACACCCAACCCTCACTTAAGGAAGCCTTCCTGTCAGAAGATGTAGCAAGAAGAATGGGATTAAGAAAATGCAAAATAAATAATTACAAGTCAGAAAGCAAAGCAGTACAAGCAGAAGGCAAAGCAAAGTGAAAATATAGCTACTAGCAACTATGTTTGCAAGTAGTACAGACATCCTGTCAGTTGTAACAATGATAACAGGGAATTAAGGAATGATTTTTGACGGGTTATGAACTTTTTTATGGATGAAAGAACCAATTAAAATCACATGAACTTGTACATAAAAGTAAAATCATACTACATAAGACATTAATTAACCCAGTCCTGACATATGCATCAGAAACATGGGCATATCTACACCTGATAACAAAGCTCTTGCTAAGTTCTGAGGTCCACACACAGCTCAATCAAAGACAACAATGAAGAATCAGGTACAATTATTAACTGTATGCTTTGTACAAGTACATGGATATTAAAACCTTTATAAAAGTGGACAGGTTGAACTGGGCTGGTCGTGTTACTTGAATGGACAAGTGACAAGTGGACCTGCGAAAATAATTCTTAATGCCAAGGCAGAAGAGAAAGAGTCAGGACTACACTGAGCCGGGAAGATGACGTGAACAACATTAAAGCTCCAGGGGAAAGAAACTGGAAAACCCTAGCCAGGAATTGACACATCTGGCAGAATCTTTGAAGGAAGGTTACGGCTCAGGGCCATTTCGCCAACGATGATAAAGAAGAATATATCTGGCAGAAGCAAAATATAACTGTTAGGATTGTCAAATTATTTTAATAACTGTAGGTATCATTATACCTGCAAAGAATGGAGATTTGTATATTACAATTCATAACATGTACATTTTCTATTGTACTCGGGAAAAACAACCAAAAGAGGTATAAATGTTTGGTGGAAACACATTTATTTTCCTCAACAGATGTAGCACCCTAACAAACACGTGTACGTGACCTTAATTTCATATTCCTCGAGGCTAAAAATTTACTGTTTACAGAACTGAAAAAAAAAAGTTTTACACTCTGTTATATGATACATTTCATTTAAATGGGGGGCAGACAGTCAAACAACCACATTCATTATGTACAAACCATGTGCTCCATAATATGGCTGCCCCCCACCCTGACTGGTCTGCATTTTATTTATGTTCGGTGGTGGCCGCGATGGAGGCACATGTGACGAGTTATGCTGAGGCCTGTGCCGACCAGAACTGCTCATCATGTTGTTTCCTGGCGCTCCTCCTCCTTGCTGATAGGCTACAGGCCGTTGGATCGGAGTTGGATAACGAGGAGCTGATGACATGCCTCCCCGTACTCCAAGGTTCATCTGGCCCCGCATGCCTTGCTGAAATGCCTGGAAACCAGAACAGTCGAGTTTCTAGAGTATGACTTGAAAACAAGCTGATGATGTGGGGAGGGCAGGGGGGGGAGCTGAAGCCTATATATACATGAAGCAGAAAACAACAAAGAAAGGTATGTACATTGAACTTTACTATAAATTATAAATCTGATATAAAAGCACTGGCTCTTGGACAAGTTCCAGCATGACTCATATGTATACTCTTCCTTTGATTTTGTTCACTTAGGTATCATTTTAATTCTTGTATTATGGTTTTACTCAGGTCTGTCTGGTAGTTACTATATTTAAAAGGCCGTGCCATAGCTCAAGCAGTTACTCGCTGGCTTCCCACAGCAGCAGTCCGGGTTTGATCCTGGGTCTGGTCAAGTGGGATCTGTGGTGGACAAAGTGACGCTGGGGCAGGTTTTCTCTGAGTACTTTGGTTTCACCTGCTAATCTTCATTCCACCAATTGCTCCGTAATCACCTTCACCTATCATGTGGGGCTGGTAAAATATGCCAGAAGTGGCTGCAGTACAAGGGACTTAGTCCCACCTCACTCGCAATAAAAAAATACATAAAAAAAAATTAGGAATGTGCATACGCTTCTGCTAGCAGCATGTGCGTGCGCTTCCACTTGCGACGTTTAAATGCCCGACTGCACAAATTGGGGTACAGACCATTTCTGAAATGTTGTTCTCTCTGCATTTTAGAATATCGGGCAAGGGACAAAATAATAACAATAAAAAACCCCTAGTAACTCCAAGCATTATGCATCATCATTTCTGGCTCCGTGATGACCATTTTATACGATCAAGTTTTGCTATTTCCTAAAAATCTTGTTTCTTTTAAGAAAACCACATCTTAAATATTCAGAATAAACCTTGTAGAACACGATGTTTTTATAGAACCTTTTAAAATTTACCCAGAGAATGTTTAGAATAAATAAGAGTATACTTAGGTTTCGTCTTTTAGGGGTTAATACACGATGCTAATGATCTATTTTGTGGGTTCGTTTATGATACCGTCAATATGAAGGATACACAGTATTAAATGGTAGGATCACTTATGAAATGGAAAAGATATGGAATGAAGCAGTCATAGCCAAAACGAGGCACTACGAAGAGCCATGAAAAATCTCAATGAGGACAGTCAGTTCCAACCAAAACTGAAACGAGGCACGTATGAACCTAGTGCTCCAAGATGACAAAACAGGTAACATACCAGCTGAGAAGATTGTGTGACTCCTTGGTATGGATTGAATTTATGATGAGGTTGCTGCTGCTGTGTTGGACTCTGTTGCTGTTGTTGCTGTTGCTGCTGCTGTTGTTGTTGCTGTTGCTGCGGTGACTGTTGCTGCTGCTGTTTTGAATTACGAGACTTTGGTGATGGGATCTGTGGAGCTGCACACACAAAGGAGACACACTCACTGTAACTGCCATATTAAATGAAAATTTAAAAAAGAGTGCTGTGTTTGGGAAAAGGAGCACAGGACCCTTCAGAACAACACAGGCAGTCCATGCCATGGCTGAGACAGACACTGCCTTCCCCACTGAGAAACTTAGGGTCATCCCACATGTAAGACTACTGGTGGATTAAATGGCCCTAGAAGAGGTTCTTTTCAGAGCTTCTTTGATTCCCCCTCTCTTAATTATCATTCCACTTCAAATATTTGTGTACGACAGTAACATATCAGAAACTGATTCATGATGAAATTAATAGCAGACTAAATTTGTGTAATGCTCGCTACCATTCAGCTCAGAACCTACTGTCTTCCCATCTGCTGTGTAAAAATTAGAATATAAAAAACTACAGTTTTGTATGGGTGTGACTGACCATGTCAAGGAGGAAGAGATGGGCAGGGGCAAATAGCATGCATGGGGAGAAGAGGAATTTTGGTGGCAAAGCCAGAAGGAAACTGGGAGAATAAGGTGTTATGGACTGGATTCATCTGACTTGGGATAGGGGCCCATGACAGGCTTTCATGAATATAGTGACAAACATTCTGGTTTCATAAAATGTTGCGGAAATTCTTGAGTAATTCAGTGACTTCTCAAGGGCTTAGCTCCATGGAATCAGTTAGGTAGTTAGCCTGATATACAAAAGTCTGCTCTTTGGTCATTAACAATTACTTACAGACATAAGCTGAAGAAAGCAGCAGTGGCAGTTACCGGTGAGTCTTTATCACATTTGTCAAAAGAAATTCCTACAGGCAGCAGCGCAGCCCAATTCTTACTGTTATTCCAGCAAGGTCAATATCTGCTGCTGCGGCTGCTGTATTTTAACTGACTCCTTAGGCGGTGTGGTTATCTTATAAACCCTCAGCCAGACAACGGGAAAACGCCTCACTTCTTTGCTGCCTAGTAGCCGCGTTTACAGGTGTTGCTGGGCAATGCTGCTGCATCCCCCGCTACGTCACCACGGGGGAGGGGGGCGGAGTGTTGACTGGCCCATTACCATAGTAGCGACAGCGCCCAATGTTGTTATGTCACCACTAGTGGGGGAGGGGATGTACTCCATAGTGCAATACGTCACACTGCTCCCTTTTTAACCCTTTTGCGCGGTCATTTAAATTCCGCTGCCGTGTCTCTCCGGCGGTAATATATTCAGCTGACCATTTAAATTTTGCTCGAAAATGATTTATTCATCATTGTTCTTAAATTATATGAGATAGGAACATGAAACTTTCACTAAAATGATCTTAAAACGTGGTTTTATAACCTTACCTTATAATATGAGCGCCCGGTATCTCGGCAATGGAAGCAGTTGGTTTAGAATTTGAGCAGTGTATCGTACGCCTTGAAGCATGAAACTTTCACTAAAATAATCTTAAAAGATGGTTTTATAACCTTGCCTTATAATATGAGCGCCCGGTATCTCGGCAATGGAAGCAGTTGGTTTAGAATTTGAGCAGTGTATCGTACGCCTTGAAGCATGAAACTTTCACTAAAATAATCTTAAAAGATGGTTTTATAACCTTGCCTTATAATATGAGCGCCCGGTATCTCGGCAATGGAAGCAGNCCAAGGTCAGTACGATAAAATGGAGTCAACTGGAGCGATAATACATGAAGGAATGCGTTCTTTTCCCCCTACACACACACACCCATCATCACAGGGGGTGACCACAGTGTTCTGTCTTAATTTGTGGCGTTTTTCTAAGAACTGGCTGCTATGTACTGGGCGAAATCAATCGATCTTGCAAGAATAAAATTTGGACATCCCTCTTCTAAGAATTCCAATTGAGTGTGTTAGTGTGGCCAGCTCAGGTCAATATGATATTATAAACACAGCACATATCACGTCTCTGCTGTTTATAACTTCATAGGAAAGAAAACACGCCATTCATAACAGTCTGAACGAGGAAACCTCTCCCAAGAGCAACAGGAATTTTGCTGCAAGACAGGCATATGTAACGATGACTTAGCGCAGCTGAACTCGTGGCTTATTATATACTGTTCTTGTGACAACAGGCCAGCGAAAAATCTAACAATCTACAGCAAAACCATCAATTATTATGGGTGTTATAACATAGGTGTGCAGCTGGACGAAACATAGATGTCGAACCCCCGCAGACGATTTAAATACCTTGACGAAACATACACGTCAAACCACGCTGAACGGTTAAGGCTGTCCGTCCCGAACAGCCTAACAGTAAAACCCCATTCCTTTTATTTGCAGGCTGTTCTTGCAACGTCTTCTTCTTCTTGTCCGGCTACTCCTCTTGCAGCAACTATCCTCCATCTGTTACATCTGCTCCCCTCTTAAGACCAGCTCATCTCGAGTGGTTTCCTGTTAACTTGCCAGAAGATCCAGTTGTATCACATTCATCCATTGCACATTCACTCTTGCTCGGGAGGCCGGTACTTCTACATTACTGGCTCCTCCTCGATCCGTTGTTTCCTTTTCCGCTTTGGAGGGGGCCTACCCCTCCGTAAGGTCCATTCCTTGTTCTGTCGTAATCCGACAGAAGATCCGTCTATTTGCTTCACAATCTTCCTGCCGACGATCTTGTAGAAGGTCTTCTTACGAGTACCTCTCCCTCCTAGGTGCGATCGCGGTCCTGATCTACACCCACTGATGGCGTTCTTGGTTGGGTCCTTCAATTGTTTGCTGACTCATAGTCGCTGTTTCAGACCTGTCCTTTATGCCAGGGTTGCATTCAGGGTACTTCCAACATCTATTCTCCTCTGCAATCTTCATTCTGGTGGTGGTCACTTCTTTCCGCGGTCTACAAATTCTTTGGGCTGAAGATGATCCGCTTGAGCCATGCCACTGTTGCACAGCGGGACACCTGCCTGCTGGTTTTCTTCTGCCGTGCCACTTCCACACAGCAGCTCGTCCTTCTGAGGGGCTACGGCCAACTTCTTCTCGGGTCCACAATTTTCACATGTCAAATTCTTCATATTTCGCTGATTTCAGTCCCTATGTCTTTTATTCTTCGGTTCTCCAACTGGCATTACTTCTGGGTTTTCTACGGGTACCTCTCATTCTGCTGCCTCAGGTTTCAAGTCTTCTTCTTCTGGATGTGCCTCAATTTCTCGGCAGGCCATCGTTACTCTGACCGGTATCACTATGGGGACCTGTTCTTGTTGTGCCGCTGCAGGTTTTGTGTCCACTGAGGCCGGCTTCCCCTCTTCTAGACGTGCCTCCATCTCTTGGCAGGCCCTAGTCTCGTCCTCTATTTCGGGTTTAAATGCGGACACCATCTCCATGTGGCTGGTGCCCATTTTTTTTCTCACATGGCTTCCATCCTTGCTTGGATAGCTTTAATTCTATGTTGGAGTTTCTCATCCAACTCTGATGGCATAGCTTGCATTGTGGCCTTCATTTCTTCCTTGTCAGCCTTCCTATCGGCCTCTGCCTTTTCTTGGTAGGTGTCTAATTTGGCCATTGAATTATCATTCTCTTTCTTCCTATTGACCTCCATCTTTTCTCGGTTGGATTTCATGTTGGTGTCCATTCTTGCCATTAAATCTTCTTTGTCTGTCTTTCTATCAGCGTCTAATTTTGCCAACAGGCATTCCATCACCTTTTCTATGTCCATAATGTGGTAGTGTAACACTTGTTTTGATAGTTTGTCCTAAGTTAAGGTGTGTTCAAGTTCGTAAAGCAATTCTGACACCAAATGGAACGTGTTGGGTGTATAATGCGACAAATAACTTTACGCTGTACTGAATATAGCAAATTTATTCCACTCACTCTTACAATCACACAATTACTGCCCTTGGCAGTATCACAAATTATCACATCAAATTTTCCAACCACACAATATTTTGAATTGTCTTTGGCGGCTGCTACATTTTAACTGACTTCAGCAGCTGCTGCATTTTAACTGTCTTTGGTGACTGCTGCATTTTAACTGTCTTTGGTGGCTGCTGCATTTTAACTGTCTTTGGTGGCTGCTGCATTTTAACCCGTTGCCGTGGTTCGTCGTGTATGTTTCGTCAGGGATTTAAATCGTCTGGGGGGGTTCGGCGTGTATGTTTCGTCCAGCTGCACACCTATGTTATAACGCCCATAATAATTGATGGTTTTGCTGTAGATTGTTAGATTTTTCGCTGGCCTGTTGTCACAAGAACAGAGTATACTAAGCCAACGAGTTTAGCTGAGATAAGTCATTGTTACATATGCCTGTCTTGCAGCAAAGTTCCTGTGGCTCTTGCTAGCGGTTTCACCGCTATGAATGTCGTTTATTCTTTGCTACGAAGTTATAAACAGGAGAGACGTGATGTGATGTGTTTATAATATGATATTGCCCCGAGCTGGCCACACTGACACACTCAAATGGCATTCTTAGAAGAGGGTTGTCCAAAATTTTATTCTTGTAAAATCGATTGCTTTCGCACAGTACATAGCACCCATTTCTTAGAAA